CTTGTTTTTCTGGAGTGAGTGATAGGAACGTGGTGTGCCCGTGCTGTGCAGTTGAGTTAATGCCAGAGCTGGAAGGCTTCCTCGCTGCTTAGCCATCTTCAAATGTTTTTGGTGTTGGGGATTTTTTTTCACTTTTGAACCTTAACGCTATCCCATAGCTTAGCCCTTGGGGTTCTGAGTGTTTAATTTGTAAAGCTCTTCATTTCACTAAGCGAAGAAAAAGAGTTTCTCAGCACCATGGCTCGTGGGCATCCCTTACCCTGTAGACAGCTGGTGCTGTTTGAGACGCAAACGTGCCCACATCCTCACGGACACTTGTGGCTGCTTGTGCTCCAGATGGCACTTCCAAACATACGTAACGTCACGTGCCGACTGCCAAATCAACTCTAAATTGATGGAAAGTTTTAAATGGAGTAAGATTGAGACTGTACAGATGAGGATTTCAAAGCTGAGCTGCTTTGGAGCTACTTGCCTCAACTTCAGAAGGGAAAATCCATCGGGAAAGTATGGGATGTAAAAGAGCACTCTTGTTTGCCTTTGCCCTCTTTCATTTAAAGATGTAGCTTGCTCTTTTAAATTTCCCTTGGGCTGGGAGCCAAGCTGTGCTCCCTTGAAGACGATCACAAAGCGAACTTCATTGGAAATAGGATTGGGCTTCCAGCACGGAAAATAGTGATTCAAAAGAACTCTTTTCTTGAGATTTATGAGCATATGAAAAGAGAGAGTAACAATGAGTTGTGTAGAAACTGTAATTACAGTGATGTTTGCACTATTTGGGGGTAACTACATTTCTTTGCTGTCATGCAAGATGGAGCCATCTTTCTTGCAGGAATAAGGTCCCAAAATTTCCTTTGGGATGTCCTTAGTGTTGTTTTCCATCTAGTACTTGGTATCCTTCTGTCATTGGTGAGTTAGGGAAAGGGAAAGCGAGAGTGCCAGCCCTGCTGGGAGCACAGTGCTGGGTGAGCAGTCACACAGTTGGCATGGTTGGAGTGGAGATGTTCCCATCTCCCCTCTGGCTCTTGGCTTGCACTGCTATTCACCCTGGTGTTGGTTTTGCTGTTTGGGGCTGTGCCGTGAACGAGGTCACGGAAAGGATCCAAGACAAAAGCATGGCAAGGGGGAGAAAAGGGATTTTTTTTTTTTTGGTTTGTTCTCCAGCAGCGCTGTTTGCTTGCTGAGAATTGTGTTGACACAACCGAGAGTGGTGAACCATGGTGTGGAGGTGGAAGCTACTCACACCGTCCGTCTTTCTTGTCTGTGCTGAAACACAGCACAACTTTACCCTCGGGCCAAAGGAGCTTGCTTTCACACGAGGCCAGAAGCTCTGCAAACAGACGTTGCCTTCAGCACAGACCTGCAAGATGTAATGCTCTTCTGTGAAGATGTTTCAATTGGCTAAACTGGGCTCTTAATTCACGCTCGTTTGTGGAGGGTTGAGGCTCCAAATGATGGAGCCGCTTCTTTATGCGGCACAGTTGTCCTTGCCCAGAGGTGTAGGGTAAGAATCATCTTTAATAGTGATTTAGTAGTGGGGGTGTTTAAAGACTGTGCTTAGTTTGGGTATGGTCATGCTATGAAGGATACATGTGCAGCTTGTGTTCTCTAGCTTTGCTCAGGCTCTGGTGATGAGTACTGTTGGTGTAGTGGCTAATCCAGGGTTGACTTCTGCCTATGCTGTTGAAAGAGCTCCAACCTGGAGATGTAGTTTAGCTTGTTGTCTTTTGGTCCATTCCCTACCTCTTCCTTAGTAGTTGCAGAAGCTTTTCTGGGGTAAGGCTGATCCCCTTCAGGCTGTGAAATGGGCCAGGAGGTAGGTAACCTGCTTGGCTATGAGAAATATTTGGAGTGTGCTCCTCCCTCTGTGGTTTCTTCATCTCATCCTGCTCAGACTGGGAGTGGTGCCTAGCTAGCAGCCCAGGCTGTCGTTTGTAAGCCAAATCTAAGGAGCCTTCTTGATGACCAGCCTTGGTTAGGCACCAGACACAGTCTTCCACTTTTTCCAGATGAAGTTGGGCAGATATATTTTATTCCTGACAGCCCTATAATGGCCTTGGCAGGAAGATCCATTTAGCTAGCGGTGTGTCCTGCACCTGGACAAGGAGGTGGTGCAGAGTCCCCAGGTTCATCATAGTGCCTTTGACAACCATCCAAGAGACTTAACGTTTTGGGGGGGCCGCCTTATTGACTTTTCACTGAGCTGCATCAAAACCGTTGCTCTTGTTTACACAGAAGACGAAAGTTGGCATGATCCAGCCTGCCCTGACATTCCTGTGTTGGTCTTCTCATGAATTTGCTTTCTCTGCTTGATGCCCAGTTCTGCCTTGTTACACCCATCGTCCGATGGGCACTGCTCTCTCCTGGTTCCTGCCTGAGCAGCCTGTGTGTTGCCACAGCAGCCTCTACCTGCTGGTGTGTTCTCTGATGTCTCCAGAGAAGTGTGACCCTGGGCTGCTAGGGGTGAGAGGGGTCAGAAGGGGAGCAGTGTTCTCAGTCCATGTCTCGGCTCTGATTCTTCTGTCTGGGAGCTGGGGGAAATTCTTTTGTGTGGTTAGAGGAAAAGACTGGGAGCTGACACTTTCCTAGAAGCCTAGGAGAAATGTGTAACCCTTACTGATGTGTGCTTGCAGCTCTCCTTGCTCTTCCTATTCTTGTGATGTGGAGGTGTATGCTTGTGAAGGTAGTGCTTGTTCTCTAACATCACAAGCAGTCCTTGGTTTAAGCCTGTAATACCTGTTATCACCTTTCTTACAACTGAGGGTGTTTCTGGTTTGTGATGCCGAACGATCGCAAGGTCCCGTGTAGCTGTTTCCTCTACTGGCCTCACAGCCCTTTCTGAGGGTAGGGGCTGGTGGCCTCCTCCCCATTGACTGGAGAAGGACAGACACAGAGGAAGGATTTTTCTGTGGTTGCCTACCAGGACAGTAGCCAGGGCAAGAGGTAAAAGAGCTGTAATGAGTCCCAGCCTGTTGCTGCAGCCATAAGCTCCAGGCTGCGTTCGGGTCTAGGGAGTTAACAAGAGTTAACATCATGTGTCCCAGGCTGGGGGATTTTTTATTCCTGTTACAGTAACGATGCCATTTGCCAAACTGTGCTGTGCCTTGGCTTTAGGTTTCACTGTGTTTGAATCCCTTCTCATTCCTCCCCTCCCAAAACTGGGAATTGCCTTCCCATCTTTATTTGTCCTTCCTAGATTATCTGCTGCCTTTAAGGAGCTTTCTCAAGGCATGGTATGCACTTAGAGCTTGGGGATTCCTGTACACAAAAGTTCCCCCCCACCTTCTCCTTTCCAGGAGCCCTGGCAAGCCCAAGTGTTGTGCAAATACCTGCAGCTCCCGATGGCAGCTTCTTTTATTTCGTTGCAGTTTGCACTGCCAGCCAAGGAACCCTGTGGGGAAGAGGCTTCATTCTTTGGCACGGCTTCCATGTGGTAGAGCTCTCTGCTTGGTTACAGGCTTTTCTGGAGGTATTAGTGGAGGAAGCTTATGGCTGGAAAGAATAGTTGGCCTGATATAAAGCCTGATTTCTGTTGTTGTCCCTCTGTGTTTGGGGATGGAGAGGGCTGAAAGCAGTGGTTGACTGTTTTACTGCTAACAGCATTGAAAACTGCTGTGAGCAGAAAATAACAGAGGGATCTAATTTAATTTTAGAGCAGTCTTTTGCTCACTCTGAAAGTACTGCATGGCTGTAGTCCTGTGCTGGCTGCAGGCAGCAGTTGTCTGGGCAGGAGGTGTGTGAGAGTGCCCCTGAGTGCCAAACACTGGACCTCCTTCCAAGGTGCCTCCGTCCATAGCTGCAACCCTTCCGTCTGTGCCTCTTCACAGTTTGCATGCCTTTCCCCAAACCAGTGACTAACTCCCCTCCTTTCCATTTCTCTTCTCACCTAATGCAGGATATGGGTTTGGAAAGGGTGGATGGGATCTACCCTTCTTCCCCATGGGGTTCAGGGTTTTTGGCGTGTCAGTGTTGGAAATTGTTCTGATGTTGCCCTGATCCTGTTCCAAAAAATGTAACCCTCTTCTGCCCTTTGTGGACGAGACCTAAGCTTCTGTTCCAAATGGAAATATATTGTAAGAATTGTTGGCCCATATAAGCTGGATGTGCTCTCTAATCAACTCTCCCCAGTGTTATTAAAATGGGTAAATATAGAGACAATTTTTAATAAAATTCAGTTCTTCAAGGCCCAAATTAGCTTCTGGAGGCAAAGGTTACAAAGAAAGGGAGGTGCTCACGCTGCCATTGATGGTATAGTAAGTAATGCATGTGGAACGGGCACACCTTGCAGCTGTGATAACAAAGCAGGTTCAGACATTGTGGTCTGATCCTCTCCTGGATTTGTCTTAGGAAAATCATTGTTGCCTCCCACCCTTCCCCCTACATAAGGCTGTAATGCTGCTGTTCTGAATCTGGGGGTATCTGGTCTGTGCATTACACAAGTAAAGAGACAGGGGTGTAAAAATCAAGCCTGGTGCTTTTTCTGGGGGTGAATTTCAAGTATCTAGGCTGCTGAGCCTTCTCCAAGTTACTGTCTTTTCCAGGTGACTGACACTGTTTCCACTGGATTTTCAGACGAATGGGCTAGACTTTGCAAAAAAGGGATTTATTATCAGTTTATTTAAAGCTCTGCAAATGCATGTATTCCACTAGACTGGGAGGAGAGATTGGCTAGGGCAAGATGGTGAATTGGGCACGGTGTGATGAGTGGTGACACGTGGCCAGAGGGAGGGAGTTGATGATGCTTTGCTTAGAGTGCACTTGCATGCCTGTTTCTCTTTCCTCAGGTCGAGTGTGAGGAGCTGAGCACCCTCCCTCCCCTCCCCTCATTGGATTCCTTCTAAGTGGAGCTCACTCGCTCTCTGAGGACCAGACCTCACTGATGACTGAGAAGCAAAGAGTACCCAGGAAAGCACTTTTATCACGGACTCCACTTCAGGAGCACCAGGAACTTGTCTTCTAAGTAAAATCTGTGCCCCTTCCGTGCAGACCCAATGTCTGCTGCAATGGATACAGAATCCACGTATTCGGGATACTCCCACTACTCAGGTCACTCCAAAAAAGCCCACAGACAAGGGTAAGGGAATGCTAATTTTTAATTACTTACTGCTCTCAGCTATGTCCCATGGAAAACATTGTAAGGTGGGATGAAATAGGTGGGGCTACAGCTCTGGAGCAGCCCAGTAAGGAGACTGGAAGCAATAATGCTGCTAATTTATTGATATTCAACCTGTAGGATGCATGCTGGGATTATGTATGGCCAGAAGGACTGAAAAGGACTGGGAGAGCCCCAAAAGAAAAAAAAAAAAAAAAAAAATCACGTAACCCTGCTCTTAAAGTAGGAGGGATCAGTGAAGCCTCTGGGGAGAGGACGTGTCAGTCTTCCTAAGCTGATAATTGCTGGTTGTTTTCTCTTCTGGTGCCTATTCTTTAGTGTTTAATAGTAAGGTTCCCTATCTCTCCCCACCATCCTCCTGGCTACTCTGTTGCTGGTGTGTTGTTTTTTTTTAATAGGATTTGAGTGGTACTTGAGTCCACAAGAAGTCTTTTACCAGCATTGATTGGATTAGAAGTCGGGCTTTTCGGGACCTGAATAGCAAGCCCTTTCTGTTGTGGTAGTACACCAGCCTCAAAAACCATCTTGCTGTAAACTTCCGATGACTTAGAAATGTTATCTTTTTATTTTTCCTTCATCATTAGTTTTATATGCAAAGTGTGTGCCCCACAGTCTATGAAACTTAGAACTGAGGTGATCCAAAATAACTTTGCATTTCAGAAGCAGCCACATATCTTGTGAGGTTAGAAAAAGAATTCTTCTATGAAGTGAAATTTTTTTGCTTGCAGACCAGTTAGTGAGGAAAACATCTCATTTAGCTTTCCTCCCTTCAACATCCCCACGCCCAATATGAATTGCCCTTTGCAGTTTAGAATGCCACATGGAAAGATGTCTTCAGAGTTCCCAAAACAACATAATCCTAGAGCCTTTTCCTATGAACAGGAAAAGGTGTCATCCCATGAAACTTTTGGGCTTTGGTAATTCCAAGAAAGATGTAATGGAAAGAGCAGAGCTGGGACACTGGATGCCCCTGAGCTTCAAGCTAGATCTTGAGCACAGTCAAGGTCTGGTGCAGAGTCTGCTTTCCTTACCCTTTCCAGGGTGGGAAAAGGGAGGGGAATACTGATGAGCAGACTGGTGGGGTTTAATTCATTTTGGGACATTCTCAGATAAAAAGCAATGAGGTGTAACAAGAGTACTGTGGAAGTAAGCACTAGCCTGGTACCACTGATGTTCCTACTCTCTTTGTAAGAGGTTAACTGTTGATGTGTGGAAATGAACTTCATCGAATGTCCTATAGTGTTAATGCCCTACTTGACATGACTGTGCTGCAGGAATTAAAGCTGTCTGAATTCCTTGTGCTAACTGTACCCCTTCCTGTGAGATAGTTTATTGCAGGCAGAGAGCTATGTAGACCAGTTAGTCCCAAATGGAGTCACCAGCTGTGTGGAGAGTGCAAGCTTCCCTGTCAAGCACAGCACTGGCAGAAGCTGTTTGAAGAGACGAGGTGGTGGGGCTGTACCCCTGTCACTGAGAGGGTGCACTGTCCCAGCCACCAGGCCATAGGCTGCTCTGGGCAGGGTCCCTTTCTACCTCTTCCAAGGCTTGTTTTGTCACAGTTTGTGTCAGCATTGATCAAGAGGTGGGCAAGCGTGCCTGCAGCCAAACGCTTAGAGCAGCTGGTAGAGGTGTAGCAGGCTCCCAGCCCTGCTGCAGAAGCTGTGGTAACGTTGTTCCCCTCTCGCTGTGTTTGGACAAGGAGCCGAGACCGGCACAAGTCCCCGCGGAGCAAGGACGGCAGCCGCTCCGAGAAGTCGGTCACCATCCAGGCCCCGCCCGCGGAGCCGCTGCTCGGCAACGACGCCTCTCGGCCAGAGGAGGGACAGGTAAGGAGGGGGCAGAAGTGAGCCTGGAGCTTGGAAATTGTTAACTTATGGGTACCCTTTATTCATGCATAAAGCCAAGCTCTCCGTCTGTTTTGTCTTTTTCCGAGAGCATTATTTTTGACAGCACCAGTGCTGATGTGACTACTCCTGGGGCACTAATTGCCCTCTGTTTCCAGAGTGTCATCTGCCAAGCTCTATAGGAACATGTTTCCATCGGCTCGTTGTGCATAATTCAAGTCAACCCTTTCACCTGTATGTGCACTTTGGTTTTTAAGCAGAGTGTGCTCCAGGTAATCATGTAAAGCAAATTAGGACCAGGATCCCAGTAAGGAAAGGAGGCAAGAAAAATAAAACTAATGTGAAATAGCAGGGAAGGAGGGTAAACTCTGTGAAAGTTAGTACATTAACACTGGGTTAAATAAAGAATGGACTAACACTGGATTTAGAATGCACCTAGGCTGGATCCAGTACCCTCTCTGTTCTAACAACTGATGTAAAGCTGCATGTTCATTTTCAACAAATGGCTGATGCTGCAAGACTTAAAATTCAGGATGTTCCAGTGGCTCCTGGGCTGGATTTGGGGTCTGTTAATCCTTGGCTATCCACTCACCCCTGCCCTGTAAAAAAATAAATAATAAAAAAAAATTATTCCCAGTTTCCACCCAAACTGTGTATGGTAGTACTTGTAACAGTATTTGTGTACCTACAGGTGGACTCGCTTCATGTGCTGCCATCTGGTATTTTGTAATCAGATGCTTTTTTCCTATGAGTCCTAGCTATTACTTCAAATAGATCTAAAGGCACGGGTGAATTCTTCAGTCCTTGTTTTCATGCAGACATCTTCAATATGAATTAAAGCCAAAGCAAAATAAGTTGATGCATAAGCGAGACTTTTCTCCTAGGAGAGCAGGGTGCCCTGGGTTGGGTCCAACAACTTTGCACGACTAGAGATTTAGACTCTTATTTCCATATAACTTCACATTTTGTTGCTTGAGCCACTTGAAGTGGGAAAAGCAATTATAAGGGGTAGACTTAGCCTTGGGTTGCTTGTTGTTTTCTGGGCTTTAGCCTTAAGCTGCTATGGTGCTTCTGTCCCTTCTCTCTTCTGCACAGTTTCTCAGGTCATCAAATGGAGGAAACTATGCAGAGCTATTTTATGCATAAACATAAAATAGTTGAAATGCTTAGATTGCTTGACTGGAGACACTGGCAAAGAGGGAAATGTGATAGGATTATGCTGCCTTTCTGGACGTACTACAATGCACATCTCCTGTAGCCTCTGTTTTGGTGAGGAGTGACTCAAACTCTATATTAATTCAAGATGCTGACTGTGGTTGGTCTCTCAAAACTCTACTGCTCTAGGCATGGGAGGTATTGATGTCTTGGAATGTATTAGAAGTTAAATCCCTGGAGTTGTTCAAAGTAGTTGTGCTGCCTCTGTCTATTCCTTTCCCAAAGATTCTTGAAGACTCTTTCCTCTAACTCTCTTAAAGAAGTGAATAAAGGTTTAAAATTATGCTTGTTTCTTTAAAACAAAGTGCTTTGATCAGCATGTGTAGCTGCAGAAGTCTAGGGGAAGGTGTAAATCTGATTAATGACAATAGGCTGCAGGAAGATACTCACAGGAGGGTAGAAGGAAGAGCAAAATGTGTGTTTCTGAATGAGTGTTGTAGCTACAAAGGTGTCAGGTGCCAAGGAGCAAAGTGTCTGAATTTGCCACTGTTTGGCATGTATATGTGGGAAACATCAGGAGCCTTTATGTGCATGAGTCACTCCAGCAGCAGCTGTGAGTCAAATCCATACATGCCAGTGTAACATTTGGGCTGTGCCAGCACTAGGAAGGAGGCATTGTGGGTTGGGAGAACTAGCTTGCAAGAGTTCTCTGATATTAGCTAGGGAAGAAATGAGACTCTCAGAAAAAAATAATGTAATCTGAAATTTGACTATTTAACTGTATTTCAGGTAAGCTTCTTTATGGCTGAGCGGCTTCTGATGATGTCCAAAACTCTAATACCAGAGCTCCTTGGTAGCCTAGGCTCCTCTAAACTTAAAGCCCCATACCTGAAAATATCCTCTGTGACCACCTGTAATTTGTTGGTTTAACTAAACTTTTATTGAAATGTCAGCTGTTGAAAGCAGCGCTACTGTAGAAGACAATAAAAGAAAAGCAAGTGGAGGAACTTGCTGGAAGTATGGTTGCTTCTGTTACTGGTGGAGAAATAACGTGTGAACATGCTTTTGATTGTGCAACAACAACAACTGGGTTGAAGTGCTGAAATGAACATTTCCCTTCCAGGTGCTTCTGTGGTGCACTTGTGCCGCAGAATTTGTGGGCTGGAAGAGTGCGAGCCCTTGCCCTGCACATGGGAACTGATGATTCCTGCAGTTTCCAAGGGTTACGAGATGTTACTCATTAAGTGTGCTGGAAAAGGAACCTCTGGGGTACAGTGAGTGGCATGGCAAGCAGAGCTACCTGCTTTGGAGTTACAGGTTTTTAACACCTAATGTGTATAGTCACTGGTTTGAACAAGTTGCTGTCATTTCCAAGCCTTTGCCAATTTTCAGCGTTGATTATTCAAAATATTGAAGGTGTTGCTTTTGCTGTAATTGTTTTCTGGGACTTGAGTCTGTTGCAGCAATCTCTTTCTGGGCAAGAAGTCCTGGAAGGAATAACTTGATTGTTTCCATATTATTTTTATCTCTTCCTCCCTCAGGATGACAACTGGGGTGAGACCACAACAGCAATCACAGGCACCTCTGAGCACAGTATTTCCCAGGAGGACATTGCCCGGATCAGTAAGGACCTGGAGGACAGCGTTGGGTTGGACTGCAAACGTTACCTGGGCCTAACAGTGGCGGCCGTTCTCGGACTCCTTGTCTTCCTTACCCCTATTGCCTTCATTCTGTTACCCCAGATCCTGTGGCGGGATGATCTGGAGCCATGTGGTACTGTCTGTGAGGGACTGTTCATCTCTGTGGCGTTTAAACTCCTCATTCTTCTGATTGGGACCTGGGCTCTGTTTTTCCGCCAGCCCAAGGCAGATATACCAAGGGTGTTTGTGTTTCGGGCCCTTCTGCTGGTCCTCATATTCCTGTTTGTGTTCTCCTACTGGCTGTTTTACGGCGTCCGCATCTTGGACACGAAGGACACCAACTACCAAGGGATAGTGCAGTACGCGGTATCTCTGGTGGATGCTCTGCTCTTCATTCACTACCTGGCCATCGTGCTGCTGGAGCTACGGCAGCTGCAGCCCATGTTCACTGTCAAGGTGGTTCGGTCAACGGACGGAGAGTCACGATACTACAGCTTGGGGCACTTGAGGTAGGTGCAAGCCCTTGAAGTCCAGCGGTGTGGATAAGTGTGGCTGTGTTGTAGCGCGAAGTATCAACGGCTTTTGTGCTTGTGATAGCCCTGGTTTCTGAATCTTCCCCCACAAGAGTCTAGAGCCTCGCCAAAGTTATCAGACTGAGCCTCTCTTCCCCTCTGCTAGCATGGGAGAGGTTGTCCATCCTTCAGAGAAGTCTTGCACCTTTCTCTAAATGAAAAGAGCTGAATGGCACAACTTCAGGCTGATTGTTGGGCGAAGCCTGATGAGGTCTGTGTTTAAGATCATTCTCTGGGCTTCTTGCCCTGCCTCCTTACTGGAGAAAAGGGGTGAGGCCTCCTTGTGTAGCTGTGGCTGTCTTCTGCTCTTTGGCTCTATGAGCCAAGCACCATTTTGAGAGCAGTCCTTCAGGCTGTGCAGGGCATCGCTCCCCAGAGCCTCCTGACAGCGGGCCAGTCCCTGTGGCAGGGGCTGAAGGACGTGACTCTGTGTGAGAAAGCAACCTGGGGTGCTGCTGAAAATGTCTGTTTGTCCTCGTTGCCTTGTGCAGCTAAGAGTTGTGCAAGAAACCTGAGTAAACATCCCTTGATCGACAGTGCTCGAGCACTGTCTTTGGGATCCTTTGTGCATCCTTTTGTGGTCAGCTGAAGTGCTTGTGTTTGGGTGTTTGTGCTCTGAAGCCTCTGACAGGCTGGGGCTACCTTGAAGGACTTAACCAGATAGCTACACCATGGGATCTGAAGGCTGCTTGCCGTGACTGGGGTCTCTTCCCTTGAAAGTTTCCAAGATCAGCAATTTTGTGTTGGCTTAAGGGAAATATACTGTGTTAGTCCTGATGAAGCAGTTGGCTTGAGGCAGCAAAAATCTCCCAGCAGTTCAAGCATTTAGGAATAATATTTTTAATGAGTACTAGGGCACAGCTAGGTGCTTTTCCCCTCCAGTGCTATGGTGCTTCTGGTTTGGTTTTGTAGCATGATGTTCTATTTGTCATAGGTATGGATGAGTTTGCTGGGTCAGACGCATCTGGGGGTGCTTGGGAGCTGTGCAATATCTGTAGGCACAACACGTGTGTGCCTGATTCCACCTTCCTGCTGCAAAGGTATAAGAAAGACAGATGTCTCCATCTCCGTAGTTCCCGTGTCCTGTGAAGCTCTCTAGAAATCTGTTAGTTCCTGTGTCATGTGAAGTTAGGAGCTGAGCTCTGAAGATGATTCCCCAGGCTGTATGTACACTTAAACATCTGTTCTGCTTATCCTGTCCAGACCCCTATGGCATGTGTGTCTATTGCAGATGGAGAGATTAGTGTGGTCTGCTGGTTTAAGGGGGTGTAGGAGCAGTCTCCTGCAGCCGTTAGATTAGCAATGGAATTGCTTTGAAGCAGACTTAGTGGTTGAAGCTCAAGTCTGGGAGTTGACTCCTGGGTGTTGTTCCTGGCTTAATGGAAGAACTCAGGGCCCTTTGAGTTGAACTAGTTGTGGACTCTTCTGTATTTTCCTTCTGTGTGAGTTGTGAAGGAGAGCCACTCTCCTGTAATGGAAGTGCTGCCATTGATTTAATGAAAAGTCACCTTCAGTTTTTAAAAAGTGAACTAATTTTTGTTGTTTTTTCTTCTGAAACCAATTATTTTTTTAAAAAAAAACCCTTAAATTCCTTTGTGGTAATTGACAGGCCAGCATAGCCTTTAAAACCATGGAGATATGACTATCAAAGAGTTCCCCTCTGCCACAGCTTTGTGCCTGGAGGTGTGCCAGGACAGTTCTTTTGTAAGTGAATTCTGCACAGAAAGTTCAGTGTGTGTAGGTACATACCTATAGATACACATACAATGTCCAGGTTTAGTTAGGGTTTGCTGGTTGCCTGGTGGTGTATTGTGGGTTTGCATTCAGAGGAATTCAGATCCTGTGCCTGCCACAGGTTGCATGCCTGGTTTTAACCATGTCAGTAATCTTGACATTGGAAGCAAAGAATTTGCTCAAGAATCAGTATTGAACAGCACATGTTAGAATCAGTCTCTTCAGTTCCCTCTTTGTGAAAAGGTTTTAAAATGTCTTGGGAGATGCAAGGGCAGCAAAGAGTTGTAAAACCTAGGGTGAAATCTGAGATGTATGAAAAATTAACTTCTCATTTGTTGGCAAGCTGATTGCAATTTTTTATCCTATTGAATCCAAACCATGTAGCGTGTAGGTGCTTCAGTATCTTGTGTTACAGGAGAGCCCTATCAAGCATGTCTAAAATGGTAAACTACTGTTGCTTTTTCCTTGGTTTCAGACAGATGAGTTTAATGTGTGTTGACGTGTTTTGGAGCCTGTTTTCTTTCTGTCTCTGCTAATGCTAAGGTAAAACTGTAGGTTTGATCAGTGGCCAAGTGTCTGCAAACTAAGGGAGAGTCCATTCTCTAGCTACAAGCAACAGTGGGAGTTACTTGCAGGTATATGGCCAGAGCTGCTGGTCTTGATACGGAGTGTGGCCCCAGTGTGACAATGAGAAGTGTGTGTAGCTGGTATCTCCTTCAGCTTCTGAAGGCTTAGGATGGTGAGGTGTTGATGTAAAACATCAGAAATTTGGGAACTTTTGAACACCTCTGTGGCGTAATTTTGCAAAGTTTCCGTAAAGGTCTTGACGTGCCTGTTGGTGAAATGTCAGTCAGGGTCACCAGGGGCTGGCTTCTGCCTGTGCTTGGCTCTCTGGCTGAGGCATGGGGCTGGAGTGGGAGGTCTGTTGATGGGGGAAAAGTGAAGACGTGCAAGGACAGTTTGGTCTGTTTGGGAAGACTGGAGAAGCAGCCTTGTGGGTGTGGAGAGGTGGTAGTAGCTGAGATGGAGCACACATATACTGCCTGTTGGTGCCTTCGGACTCTCCGTTTGCCACCGTGCGTACTCGACTCACCCCAGCACTTCTAAAGGAGTCTTAGGTTGTGAGCTGCCACATGGAAGGAGGAAGCATGTTTTAACAAGGTATAACAATCAGACTGCCTCCTGAAATCAAATCCTTGCAGCCTTTTGTCCTCTTCATGTTCTCAAATACCTTAGAAGTTTTGCATGGAGTCTGTCTTCTCAACAGTTCAGTGTCCTCCAGAGGAGCTGGTGGTGGGAAGGGTCTTGAAATATCTGATCTTGTTCAGTGTTGCTTCTCGGAGGAGTTCTGGGTTTTCCACAGGAAAACTGTTGATATCAACCTTTTTAATCCGAGGTGTAAGCTTTCAAATCCTAGGTGTTTTGTGGTGGGGCAGAGTGAGCTGCTATGTAGATATGAGGAAAACAGATTTTCTGGGGGAGAAGGGAAGAAAACAGTAGCTCAGCCACCTTTCTGGAAAACTATACTTTTGCCAGGCAGGGTACAGACAGGATTTTCCACCCTCCCTGGCTCTTAAGGCAGCAGAGAAGTTGAAAGTGCTGAGTTAGATATTCCACTCCACCCCTGAGGTCCCTAGATCCAGGAGGGTAAGCATATTTGGGAGTAGTTCCCCAAATTCATATTATAAGCAACCTATTAATAGGCTGGCTTGGTCCCACCCCCAACACTTTGGCTGTAACTTTTCTTCTGGTAGACCTGACTGCCAAAATGAGCCTTCCCTTTGGCATCGATTCAAGAGCTTGGGGGGGAGGTAAAAATTAAATTGGAGTCCCAGTGAATGTGGTGCCAAGTCTCAGCTCAGTGACTGCTCTGCTGCTCTGGGTAGGAAGGGTTGCCATGCAGCAGGA